GAGAGAAGAGAGAGAGAGAGAGAGAGAGAGAGAGAGAGAGAGAGAGAGAGAGAGAGAGAGAGAGAGGAGAGAGAGAGAGAGAGAGAGAGAGAGAGAGAGAGAGAGAAGAGAGAGAGAGAGAGAGAGAGAGAGGAGAGAGAGAGAGAGAGAGAGAGAGAGAGAGAGAGAGAGAGAGAGAATGGTAACGTACCATATATTCAAAAAGGACGGTGAATATTTGCTTCCAGAAACGATTTTTCGAAGATGATGGTAAAGATTTCGCTATCATTGTCGTCTGGTTCGCTAGGGCATCATGTGTATTATGAAAGGAATAAAGTACCTGTATATTTTAATTTTGTGGGAAACAATTTTACAACGGTTACAAGATTTAAACCGTGGTGAAATATGAAACTGATAACCACGATTAACTGAAACAATCGTAGTTGTTATATTTTCAATTTTTAAATAAAAATAAATGTTAAGGAACACACGCTTAATTTTATTGAAAAATGGAAAAATATTGTGTTAAATTAATACAATTGATCATGCACGAAATTTTTTTGGAGTTTGGTACCTAAAGAAGTAACAAGATTCGATAAATCAATTGGGAGCTATTGTGTCTTGGTCATGTTGAAGATCAAAAGAGGAGAATAACTTGAATCAATAACAAATGGTTAGGGTTTGTAGGGTTGCTCTTGGAACACTTCTCTTGTAATCATACTTTTTGCAAAGTAAGAAATTTATCTCAATTTCAAAATGGAATTGGGGGGAGACGTAGCCATAGCGATGACGATTGGTGAACTTCCTAAACAAATCCTTCTCTCTCTCTCTCTCTCTCTCTCTCTCTCTCTCTCTCTCTCTCTCTCTCTCTCTCTCTCTCTCTCTCTCTCTCGTATCTCTTTATTTGCTTTATATGTTTCATTATGTAATTTGTTGAATTTCACTGTTTAATCGATCGAATCGTAATAATTTTTCTGTGATTGTTTTAGTTTAAATTGGTTTGTTGATTAGCTAATCACTTTGATTATAAGTGCTTTTTCATATCAACAAAACTCAAAGAAAAATTCTGAAAATTCGTTCGCACACCAAGTGTTTGACAAATTGTATTGTTCTACATTTTTGTTTAATTTCATTGGAAATAGAAAACAGTTGTGTTGGATATTAAACTGTTAATTGAGATATTATTATGTTGATTGATTTTATTATTATCTTAATTCCATACAACTTGTGCATATCCGAGTTTCCAAAAATTAGGTCTGTTTAGACTACTATATTTATATAGGCCGAAAATCTTCCGTTCAACATTATTTTTCAAATAAGTTTTTAAATACATAATTTTGAAAGGTAATTTTAATTGAGGATCTATTCAACCCCCCCGCCCCCCTCTAGATAAGTCGTTGTAGTCTAACAATCTTCATCTATTTGTGACGTCTCATTTCGATTATTATCCACTTCTCTATGCCACGTCCATGTTGTATAATTTTAACATATTCCATCACAACATAGGTGATTGAATATTTCTTTTTTCGACAATTTGTTGATATTCCCGCAAACAACGCAAGGACAATAAAAGATATCATTATTGTCAGAAACATATTTTTCAGTGAATTCAAGAACTCCTTTCTCACACACTAGACCTAATCTATCAGCTTTCATTCAACTACGATCCATAACAAATTCTGAAATTTATATAAAAAAGACTATTATGAACGACACACTAAGGCTACACACACAAAACTTAAAGTGTATTCAGTAATTCTGAATAAAACATAAAGACACACTAATATGAACAATACACACTGAAAAATAAACATTAAAAAACTTCAAAGAACATAAATAGAAATAATTGATTCATGAAAGAAATAAGTAACCATTGATTCACAAAATCACTATGAACCTAAACATTCAGAAGCATCAGAGAGAGAGAGAGAGAGAGAGAGGAGAGAGAGAGAGAGAGAGAGAGAGGAGAGAGAGAGAGAGAGAGAGAGAGAGAGAGAGAGAGAGAGAGAGAGAGAGAGAGAGAGAGAGAGAGAGAGAGAGAGGTAACGTACCATATATTCAAAAAGGACGGTGAATATTTGCTTCCAGAAACGATTTTTCAAAGATGATGGTGAAGATTTCGCTATCATTGTCGTCTGGTTCGCTAGGGCATCATGTGTATTATGAAAGGAATAAAGTACCTGTATATTTTAATTTTCTGGGAAACAATTTTACAACGGTTACAAGATTTCAACCGTGGTGAAATATGAAACTGATCACCACGGTTGACTGAAACAATCGCAGTTGTTATATTTTCAATTTTTAAATAAAAATAAATGTTAAGGAACACACGCTTAATTTTATTGAAAAATGGAAAAATATTGAGCCTGGGATTCGAAGCTTTCCACCTGAATTATATGACAACGGTTCTTTAAAAATACCATGATGAAAAATTTCTTAATAAAATAGATAAAAAATGTGCGTAAATAAAATATGTCTACGGTGGATAAATGGTCAAGGTAATATTGTGTTATCAAAGATGTTTTTCGTAGTAGTGTACTTTATTTTATTTTTGATCTTTTACCCTTTTGAATCGAAGACAAATTTTCTCGAACAATTCGTCCTTTAGGAAGCTCACTGACTATTTGAGTCGAATGGCTTGATTTACTTTATTTTATTTTTTATTGATGATTTTGTTACATTTCTCCTTCTATTTTAGACAACTGAGTAAATGTTATCATTACTACTTTAAATATATTTTATATATGTATATTAATTAAAAGTCTAAAATTAATTTGACATCTAACATTACTCACATCTCTAAATATACAATTATTCTTAAAGTTTTATATATCATTTTCTTTATATTAAATTTCTTTCAAGAATTATAAATTTTATTTTCTCTCTTTTGAAACTTTATTGAAACATTACAAAAAATAGTAAAATTATCACAGTAATAATTAAAAAAACTATTTTGAGAAAAAAATAATATACATTATTTTTATATTTTATTATTATTACTTAAATTAACAACTCTTCTTCTTTTTTATAAATTTTAGCAACTAATTTAAAATGATAATAATTTAGGATTTTTTTGTAAGGACCAAATTATCTTCTTTCCTTTAATAATTGTTAAAGAGATAGTTGATATATTGATTTTTTTGGAAGGTTTTTGAATCGAGAATTAATTTATTTTTAGAAAATGAATATGTTATACTACTTTAAAATATAAATTATTGACATCTCTAAATCATTCTCTGTACTTTTTAATTTTAGTGAGAAAGAAAAAAAAATATTTTGAAAAGGATGTCCAAGACAAATGATAAAATATACTTATTTTTTTAATTAACAAAAATAAATATGTAAATTTATATTGCCATCCAATCACAACATATATTTTTCTAAATCATATTTTTAATTTTAAAATACTGATATGATATAATTAAATATTATAATTTTATTATATAATAATATAAAATTAATTAAATCAACTATAAATTATTTTTAATTTCTAAATTAATAATAAAATATTTTGCAGGTGTATTCTAACTTGATACTTTCTACCATCTAAGACTCATAATAACACCTAAACAAATAATTATTTTCAAAAACAAATTATATATTATATATTTTATTATGTTTCTATAAATTTTTAAGACTGTATTTGAGAGTTTAAGAATGAGAGAATTTTAAAAAATAGAAAGGATTAGATAAAAAGAATAGAAAGATTTTGTTTAAAAGAATTTTGAAGAGTTTCGTTTTCTTCAAACTCAAAACTTATATTAGAAAAGTGTTTTAGAGGATTTTGATAAGCTTAATCAATTCAAACATTATTTTATTATTTTAGAAAAAATCTTTTTTTTTTTAAATATTAAAAATTTCTTTCTTTACATTTTTTAAAATAAAATCATTTTTAGAAACTCTCTCTTTCCCTTCTTTCCCTTCTTTTCAAACTTTTAAACATAACCTAACACAAATTGACACCCTTGATGATTCTAAACCCACTGCACTAGATTTCCTTACACGTGCATAGAGCCAATCCTGATCTTGTAGAAAGGGAAAAAAAGTAAATAAGAACGAAAAAATTTTATTGATAGAAATTATGGTAGAGGTTAAAAAATAATTTAGAGGTCAATTACTATTAATAATAAAACCGTATTTTGAAAGATTGATAACACATGTACAATTATCTTTTTTGTTAGTTTTTTTATGGGTTCAACTTTGAATCTCCTCATTCATTTTTTTTATTCAATAAATTATTTATATTAAAAAATATATTTATATTTAACTGGATCTCATTTTTTTTTCTTTTTTACTCAATCTCTTTATTAATTTTTTTTCTTTCTAACCACTCAATATGAATTTTTTTTAACAATAATCATATTTTTAAAAAAAACACAAATAACTATATTTCAGAGAAATTTATGTAAGTGATTATATTTTAGAAAATGTTATAATGTAATAGTCATCTCAGATGACACATGCGTTGATTTTTTTAAAGGAGGCGTTAAGTGAGATGGCGCCTAGCCATGCGTCATCTCCTAAAAAAAATTTCAATTTTTTCTATTTACCTATGAATTTCCTTGTAGATTTGAATTTTTCTGCATATTTACTTGCGGCTTTATCTGACGGATTGTTTTTCTGCAGGTAATTCTAGAGGAAAATCCGAAGATAAATCTACATGTAATGCCAAATCTACAGGAAAATCCAAAGATAACTGAAAAAAATTGAAAAATATATAAGACATGCCAATTTAAATAGCATCTCTTCTTTAATTCATTTTTTATGAAAATATGATTATTTACTTAATTTTCTCTTTATTTATATATATTTTTTCAAAATATAATTAGTGCTAAAAAAACATTCACCCAATATTATTCTCTTGCATATTTTTGTAAAAAGCAACTATACTTAAAAGGAAAATAAAATAAAAAAATATCAAAAATTAAAAATACGTCATTGCTATAAAAAAGTATAATATTGCATTGATTTTACTTTCATTCCTTACTTAGCTTCATTCACCAACTCACTGCACTTCTCTAATGGCAGAGTCTCAAAACACGTCGTTCTCCAGGAGACCCGCATTGGCTTCCAACACTGTTCCACTACCGGTCTACGGTTATCCATCCCCGGCAAATGCCTTTCCTTACGCCAACAATAATCAGCGGAAAAATAGCTGGTGCGGGCGCTGTTGTTGTCTCTGGTGGTTCATCGGCATCATACTCACTCTAGCTGTGCTCTTTGTCATCGCTGTTGTTGCTTTTTGCTTGATTACCCGGCCAGAATTACCTTATTTTGCAATCGATAGTATCGCTGTTAACGGAATGAACCTCACATCATCGTCTGTTATTTCTCCGGCAGTTGACGTGTTTATAAGGGCTGATAACGGTAACAACAAGATTGGAATTTACTACGAGAAGCATAGCACCGCTGAAATATTTTACAGAGACGTTTGCCTCTGTAACGGCGCTTTACCCGCGTTTTATCAGCCGACAAATAACGTGACGGTGTTTCAGACTGTGTTGAAGGGTAATGGCACCAAACTTGCGGAAAGAGATCGGAGGGCGTTGGTGAATGCTGTTGCGAAATGGAGCGTGCCGTTGACGTTGAAGATGAGGGCTCCGGTGAAAGTCAAAGTGGGGCTTGTTAGGACATGGAAGATCGGAGATTTTGTGTTTGACTGTGATGTGATTGTTGATCAGTTAACTGCGCAGGCGAAGATTGTTGACACTGATTGTAGTTATGGATTACATCATTCATGATGAAAATTTTTCATAAGAAAAAGTTATTATATTCTTTAATTTGTGCAAAAAAATTTTAAATGAAAATATTTAAAAATTTACAGTTGTGCCTGATAGGTCTCTTAAGTGAGAGATCTTTCTTTAGTAGGATTTATTTTGGAGGAATTCATAAATTTCCGCTATTATTAAGTTTTTATATTTATTGTTCACTATATTTCAAATTTATTTAGAGAGAGTTTTGTTATTAACTATTGCTAAATTTTTAAAAATACGACGAAAATAAAACAACACCCAGACACCTGGAATCAAACTAATAAACATTGTTATTTTTAATCAAACTAATAAGCTACTCAGACACCTTTGATACAATATAAAATGTATTAAAATATATATATAAATTTAAAATAAATTATTTAATTATAAAAAATTATAATTATATAAATTCAATTGTATTACATAATCATATAAAAAGTGATTCGTAACTTAAAAAAAATTATAATATTTAAAAATAAGAATTTTATTTATTAAATAAAGATAATTTTTATTAAAGTAAAATAAGTATTATGTTAATAATGATCAATAAAACAAATCATTTTACAAATAAAGCAATGTTTTTCTTCCGTATTATCCATTATTCATCTAAGAATTTACCAATAGAGCAATATCATTCATGAATTTAACTAACCAATTAAAATTTTCAATGATCAGAAAACATGTTTAGTATATGGTATTACTAAAACAATTCAAATAAATAAAACAAAGTAAAGTCTAGATTATCGTCTATAAAATTGTAGATAATTTATTCCAAAAAAATGCATATTAATAAAAATTTATTATATAATATAAAATTTTAAAATCACATATTAATAAAAAAATTTAAAATGTTGAGTCTATCTCTTCTCTCAGTTTTAAAATTTTATATTGTATGACAAATCTGTTGTATAGATATTATTTGGGATAAATTCCCTTCAACTTTATAAGTGGTGGTCAAGAATTTTTCATAAAACAATTGCACATTCACTTAGCACCAGACGGACATGTACATAAATTGCTATCATGTAACTTAGTAAAGCATGTTACTAAATAAAACAATTGTACGATAACTTAACACCAAAATATATACATAAGCTATTGTCTTAGATATCTCCAAAACAAATCCACTTTTTTTATCATATACATATATGTAAAACATAGCAGGATATTTGGCATAAACTATTTGAAGTTGGCCAAATCATTAGGAGTTGCTTTTTTTTAGGAGTTGCTTTTTTTTTAGTTAAAACGGGTCAGATCTAAAAGATATATTAATCATGAAAGATGAATAAAAATGAAGGGGCTAGGATAAAACCTTAAGAGTTAGAAAATTCTGAAATTTAGTAACCCATGAAATTCTTGGTATAATTATTAATTACATTCAAGTGAAGATTATCCCACCACGTATAGATTCTAGATGTTAGGTCTAAGCTAGCTAAAATATCTCCATAATAGTTGTCTTCCCTAAAAATATAAGTGGAAAAAAAATAGATTAGTAGTCAGGAGACGGTTAAAACAACGATTTCTAATACTCCAAGGCATCAAATCTGGGTTAGAAATGGAATGAACGACAAGCATGGAGTCCCTTTCTAGCCAAAAATATTGCCACCGGGAAGCAATAGCATGCTCAATAGATAGAATCACACCCATGATCTCTGTAAAAAAAAGTCACAGTTACCAAGAAAACACGAGAAGCTACCTAAGTGAACTCCTGAGCTATTACGAAAAATACCACCAGCAGTAGCAAGATTATCTTTGGAGGCTCCATGAGAATTGCCTTTAATCCAATTGTGGAAAGGGGGCACCAAATAACTTCCTTGGCCATCGAAGGATTAGGAGGAGGGATCGGAAGTCTGAAAGCCTTTAACAGAATGAAGTCAGAAATATAAATTTGAGAATTAGGCTTAACAGTTTTATCGACCAGTCTCACTTGAGATAAGATTTGAGTAGAGCTACACTCCCATCTAGGCAGAAAACCATTGAATCTGGAGTTTTTTCTAGCCTGCCAAATGCCCATGAGAACATTACAGTAGCCAGCCACAATGATGATAGACTTAGAGATCCTAGAAATATTTGAGTCAAGAACTTTCAAGCAATCATCTAGAGAAGAAATCATATTAGTATTAGACATTGTGATACGGTGGGAGAACTGACTTGGGTGTTTTGCATTTGATCGTAAATGTTGTGGTTAGCAAGAGTCTCCACCGGCTTTTATTTTATCCAAAAGGAAAGGTGAAAAAGCACAGGAAAAATCTTTGAGATTATTTATTGACTTCGGGGGGTAGATTATGAAAAGGGAATGTATTAGCACCCTTTTCATCCATGGTTTTCCATGGGCTCTTAGTTACTTGCTAGATCACTTGCTTTTGTTTGAAATTGTACTTTGTGTGGTTTTGAAAGTATTTTTGAAAAGAGGCCATTGTTTAGGTAAACTTTGTAATGATTCTCGTTCGTAAGAATGTATACAAAGATGTTGATCTTTTGAAAATGTTTTCAAGTTTTGAAAGAGATTTTGAAAGTGTTGGTGTTTGTTTTGAAAATAACAAGGATGTTTTTGTTTTGAAAGGGAGCATGTAACTAGGAACATTCTACCTACTCAAAAGTCTTTCATGTTCATTTCCTTTCTCCTTTGACATTATTATCTTACCATTGATTCGGTAAGTAACCCTATCTTTGGATGTAAACGGGACGGGCGTGAGTCATCGTATAACCATGATTAGCAATGTTGTAAGGTATCTTAGCATTTTTCTTTAGGGACTAAGATCATTTTGAAAGGCAACTTTTGATAGCGTCATCGAGGGACTATGATCTTGTATTTTGCTTGTTTTTGCTAAGATACCTCACATGCGTAATATGGTCATTTTTGTAAGGCAACCAAGTGGATTTACCCTAGGGGTGCTTGTGTGCAAGTGTATTGATTTTCATGCTTGGTTTTTGTCTTGAATTAGGATTTGCTACTTGTTGATTTTATCTTTTCATACAAATCCTAATTACTAGAATTTATATAAAGCGATAAATTGAGAAAAGTAAAATTACTACGCTATTACATCATTAGGGAAGGGGTGTACAAATTAACAAATGGGGATTGCAAGAAAATTAAACCTATTATCTATTACAACCATATTGAATATGTGCAAATAATTGAATAAATAGTAATATATAAATACAAGAATATAAAGAAAGAGAGATGATTTTTGTTTGGTTTTCATAAAAAGGGTTTAAACTAAACCTAATTAAGAAAAATGATTAGTTAAAGTAAAAATAAAATTCACTTAAATTAATTGAGAAAAGAAATTAAATTAAAAAGACTTTTAGGTTTTTTATGAAGAAAAAGGGGTTTTAAATTAAATAATAAAATAAAATAAAAAATAGATAATTGAAAAAAAACTAAAATCTAAGTTAATTTTAATTAAGAAAATAAAATAATTATTAAACCTAAGTCTAAATATTTAATTATTAGAAAAGAGAAATTAATTTGTTAAAAGAAAATATTTTTTAATATTCTTGTTTCATAAGAAAATAAATAAGTGCAAATAATTAGATAAAATATTTTTTGGATTTTTCATGATTAATAAAAATAAAAATAATAATAATAATAAAAATATTAATGGTAAATAAAATATTAAAGAAGAAAAGAAGTAATTTAAAAAAAATAAAAATAAAATAATAAAAGAAATTGGACTAGGGGTGTAAACATAGTCAGAGGGGTTAAAAGAATCAAAAACAAAGAAAAACCCAATCAAAAGGCCCAGGCGCTGCAGCTGTACAAAAAAGGAGTGAAAAAAATATGAAAGAGAACAAAAGGGTACCACTGGGGCTCGAACCCAGATCCCTATAGTCACAGGCGCGCGCTTCTACCACTGGGGTGGCTATACATCCGTTTATTAAAATGAAATGATAAATACATAACTTGACATGCTTCTAAAGCCTGTACTTCGTCTTCAACCTTCAACCAGCCAGAGCACTTGTAACTTCTTCATCTCTCAACAAAAATGAAACGTTCAAACATGAAAGTTGTGGCATTTGTTCCCACGAATCCAACCATGCAAATAACTTAAGCTAACAGTCAAAGATGAATGAGAATTTTTCTGGCCCTAATTTAAAACCTAAAAATTTCAGAAACTTCAACTCTAAAATTCTCTAAGTTTAGGCCATATAAATGCAAACTATGGATATGTATAGCTTCGTGGCAATGGTCTCTACATTTTATCTTCACAAATCAGAATCAAATGATGCTTGTATGAAGAGATAGAAGTTTGAAAACTTACCTCTTGCAGCTGGAGTCGTGTATGGAGTTTGAGCAACCTTTGTGATGACCTAATGATTTATGTAGCTTGCCTGGACCTCTTTGAGTGTGTTCCAACTCCTACTTTGCTTTGAGGATGGATGAAACTCCTAACTCAAGTCAAGTTGCAAGCTTCCATTTTGAAAATGGTGGATAGTGATGAAGGAGTTACAGTCATGAAACAGGGGTCTGGATCACTTTAATATGATGTATATTAAGTGTTTGGATGGCTAAAACTCAATACGCACGAGTGGATTTGGAGATGGCTATGTGAGGTTCAAAACTGTCAAGTTATGGAAGATTCTGAGTTGCAGATTGCTTGGGAGTGTTTTGGGGTCTTAGAAATCGTGTGTTATGTTGTAATAGACTTGTGTATATGTATGGAAAAGGTTAGAGATTAAATGCACTCAAGGTTTCTGAGTTATAACCTTTTGGCTCTATAACTTGCTTTTGAAGAAAAGTGAGAAGACAAATCTCAAAGTGTTGTACAATCATGTTCTGAGTCCCAAGAGGCTTTAGACACATTGATTTTGGTTTATAGGGGTTGTGTGTGTAGAAAGAACAAGTGAAAAGCTCAAGAAGTTGACAATTGAAAAAGTGATGCTTTATCAAAATGAAAATGACAACTTTGTGCCATAAATGGAAATGTAACTTGGATAAAGGCTTAAGTGCTTGGATTAAAGCTCTAACAGTTGTGTAAACATTT